AGGATACATGAATACACGTGTGCACATGCACTTGCAAGTAAGCACCCAGTAAAGTGACAATCTTACAATAACGCAAGCATCGGAAACACACTATTGTTTCTCTGAAGGCATGCCATTCGTCATTTCCAGTTCCGTCTTGCAGTTGTCTCTCAGATCTTTTAGCGTGACATAACTGTCTTGCTGCCAAGCAGAAATCAGACTATTAATCAAATTAAGACCCCCAAAAGAAAAAGTCACCGATTAGAAAGTGAACATCATAATCTATAATACCAAGTTCTTACAACTTAGGCTGAATTTAAAACAAGCAAGTAACACTGGCTAGAACAGATTTGTTAAAGAAACAAGTTATAAACAGCCAACATACCACAAACTAACAAGTCGCATGAATGTGGGTTTCCCCCTGCCTTACGGCCAGTGATAGGATGTGGGACTTCATACATATTAAAGATCAGAAGAGTATGGATCGTTTGCATAAAAATTAAAATAAATGAAACAGAGACGAGCATGAAAAAATTGTCCAAAATAAAAACAACGCTAAAAAGATCACTTCCCAAAGACAGTACACAGGCCATAGCAAACAAAAGTTATACTCACGAGATGGTTGCTTTCATGAACAAGCATATCCTCCACGTGAAGAAAGAGTGATCTCCACTGACTCGAGAGATCATATTCAAGTTTTGACGTTTTATTTGGGTGTGGCCAGCCCTTGGTATCAATCTCCTTTCCCCTGAAACTTTTCTCAACAAATATGTTCGCTTCCTTTTGACTCTTCTTCAATGCTAAGGGTAAATTGTAAAATTAATGAGAAATAAACTATTTGAAAGTAAAGAAACAATGTCAAGAAAGAACTTTAGATGCCCACTACAGTAACATTTCACACATTTTACACAAACTTGCCAGATATCCAAATGGTAAAATGTAAAATATTCCAGAGTGAAAAGAAAGGCAATTTCAAATAGAAATTTAAAATGTTCACCATAGTAAATTTTCTACACATTCTGCACAACTTACCAGAAATTCGACCCTTGATATCCTGGTATTGAAGGTCCGACAAAATGTGAGCCGCTGATTATCAGATTGCAAAATAACCAAACTCATGTTAGTCTACATATATATTCCACATCCTAAGCACTCAGGTATAAAACTAGCATAACCAGGGGTTGTAATACCTTTCAAGCAAAACGAACAAGAGCAACATTTGAGAAAGTCATCACCAACGTTCAAACCAGCAACACCATCACCCTTAAGAGTTGTGCATCTTTCTAATTTTTCAAATTCATGGGATTTCGAGCAACCATGTGACCCAGGCAACCTCGAACTATTGGTATAACCATGTTTGTTTGATGCCAGATTACCATCATCAAGATCCTTTTCATCATTCCCGCGAACAACAGTGACTAATCCTTCATATAGAGGAATGCTTTGAGTAACATCAGAAGTCTGTCCTGCTTTCTCATATTGACATTTTTCTCCACCATCACAACGGTCATTCTTGCACAGTCCTGAGCACTTGGAATTTGAAACAATGGACGTGCAATTATCCATCAATGCATCAGCAACCCCCATAACACTGCTCGCATTATCTCCAGTGTCACTGGACTTTTCTGCAATGTCATTCGACATAGTCAAGGTAACAGAGTCACTGTTGTCATTCGATGATTCATCAGTGGCAGTATAAGTAGGTGAAAACTCAGAATCTTGTGTGCCCTTTGGCGAAGATAAAGCTTCAGGGTTACATTCTGCTCCAATTTTGGTCTTACACTTCTCTCTTGCTATATTCTCAACCCCTAAAGACACTTGCTTTGCAAATTTTGAATCCCCATGTTCAGAATCCACATTATTACCATACCCATCTCCAGATTTAGGTTTTGAATCAGCTGAAATCATCGAAAACCCCCTTTTTATAGGCCGGTTGGTCAAATCACCGAGAACCGGACGGGTTTTGTAAAACCCATCTTTGGAATTATCACTACTCATAATGAAACTCACTTGCAGAGAAAAAAACAACGAAATCTGTCAACTCAATTGAGTATTCAACTGAGACCCTCGAAAACCCACTTCTCAGGTTCGCCAAAAACAATGAATTATCCACCCCCTGATCCAGAAAATAAAAATGGAAAACCCACAAAGTAGATTACTTATTTACAAAGCCTAAACACCAGAAAATTCGGAAGAACTACATAATGTAGGAATTCTAACTAGATGATAAACCCTAGATATGAATTTTATATTCAAGGAATATATATTTAGATACGAATAGAAAAAATCCATATGAAAAAAGAAAGATGTACTGACCTTTTTGCAATCGGGAAATGTTTGTTCAATCAAAATGAAAGAAATCTGACTGAGGATCTTGAAATGGAGAAGTGTGGGCGGGTAACGCGAGAAGAGAGAAGGGGAATCTCTAACTCAAAATTTGTTCAGGCGGGAGTGATGAGAGGCTGACCGACCGTGAACCGCCCTCCAAAAGTTTGAAAAGTTAGCAAATTGAGCAAACTGCATGCGCCCAGCGCCACCAAACTAATGGGCCTATGGGCCACCTCTCTCCCCTCCCATTTAAAATTTAAATTTAAAAAACGCCCACCAATCAATTTTATACCCTCGAAAACCTACTTGGTTTCGAAAATTGACAAAATGGAGCATAAAGTTATGAATCGTTAGAGCATCTCTAACAACCTTTTTAACAGCTTTGAAATGCTAAAATATGTGAGCCACATCATCAAAATCCTCTCAAGCAGTCTTGTCAAACTCAGTCATCAACTCAGTAATATTGAATTGAGATAGCTTTAGAGAGAGAGAGAGGCTCCTCATTCTCTCTAGAACTTCTCTCCTCCTCCATCACTTTCTCTTATGAGTAGCAGCTGGTGGTTTTCTTGCCGCCCTTCAAGGCAGCTCCTCTGCCACCTTTGGTGTGGCTTTTCCTTTTACTTTTCCTCTTTGTTTGTTTCGCTTTGCCCTTTCTCCTTGCTTTTCTTGATTTTGGCCCATATGTCCTTCCAAATTCCAACTGCATCTCCTCTACATTTTCACTTCAGCCATCACCCCTCTCTCACATACTTCTCCTCTCCTCCCATCACCCACACATCAGTTCTTTCCTCTCCCCCTCCCATCAGATCTGAAACCTTAAAATTCTCTTCTCTCCCTATGATTATCTTGGTTGTTTACTGTTGGAAATATGAGTGCTAAATTGCTATAAAATAAACAAATAAATACTGCAAACATAACAGATTTTTACAAAGGAGAATTGAATTAGAAGAAACTTAATTGAGTCGAGGTAAGTGTTGGACACTTTGACCTTAAGACGAATTACGCCCCACACTGGTGCTTATGGTTCACTAGTGTTCGCCTCTCAAGATACAACGACTCCCCTCCTTATGAAAGAAGCACTGCAATTCACAAGGAACTTCCTTGTGAAAGAAGCACTGCAATTCAAAAGGAACTTTGAACCAAATTATGCAGGAACCTCTCTTTGTGAATATGAAAACTCTAATGCTCTCTACATATGGAAGTCTGTATGTAGTGAATTAAGTTGAATTAAATGACTGCAGGATGATTGTTCTATTTATAGATGATGAAATACCCTTTACAAAAGGTATCCCCATCTGAAAAGGCAATCAATGCATCCCTAGGCTTCTGATGGGGTTCTAGACACATATGAAGAGTTGCCATCCCCCAATAGAAGATGGGCCATTATAATAACCAAAGGGTTATGCCTTTAACCCAATGGATTTTATTAATTTCCATTCAAATAGAAAATTAATATTAAATAAAATAATATTAAATTTCTCACAATCCTGGGGTAGGTTTCGGGTCAACCTGCCAACCCGCTAAAACACCTATTTAACCCGTTTATTAAACGGGTCAACTCGCTAACCCGCTAAAATACCTATATAACCCGACAACCTGTTAAAATACATATGTAACCTGCCAAACTGACACCTGTTTAACCCGTTTATTAAATGGGTCAACCAGCTAACCCGCTAAAATACCTATATAACCTGCAAATCCGCTAAAATACCTATGTAACCCGCATACCTTTTTTTTTCTCTTCATTTTCTTCATTTTCTATTTATTTATTTATTTTATTTCTCATTCTCAATATTTATATATAGATAGAGGCAAAATGCAATAATTATTTTATATAAAAAAAATGCAATTACTTGATTAATTTATCAAAATTTAGATTATTTTTTTTATTTTTTTATTGCTACCACTTAGCGGGTCAACTCAATATGACCCGAAACCTGTACGGGAAATAAACGGGTCAACTCGAAAATGATACGTTTATTAAATAGATTGGGTTTGGGTTTAGCATTCTTGACATGTATATAATTCTGACATAACACGACCCATTGCCAGCCCTACAATCCCTCACATGAATGGAAATAAATTCAACAATATGCAAATGATAATGCAGACTCAGAGAGAGTTCCTATTAGAAAAATACTACATCTAGATAGGTAGCTTTTGGCTTTGAACCTTCCATAGTGAAGTACTATTAGATTCACTTGGCTAATCAGTGAACGTGATGTCTTGAACTGTTCAACCATTCGTGTAAACCCAAATAATAATACTCACACAGTACCCTTCTAGACATATCTAGTTTGATCGGTTGTGCTCGTTTTGGCCTTGAGCTCTTGGTATTCATGAGTGCTTTGGAGAATTCAACCCTGAAAATTCTCCTGGAACGACCATATTTCACACTCATATAGGTGACTTCCTATTGGTAACATCCTATCATATCTTACTTGGATAATTAAGGTATAGGAATCATTAAAAGCATAACTTAACCTAAGCACATTACATGCAACACTGTATCATCATAGGACATGGGTAGGAGAGTATATCTCCGCAGTGATATTTTTGAGTTATCATAATTTAGTTGTCCCTTTTGAACCTAGATCTTGGGATCTCCAGTCAACTAGGTTGGGTTTCCACTATGACGACTCATTTGACATGGGCTTTAACCCCATTCCCCTCGATGATCTATAAACTTGCTCTCTGTTCAAACCTTTAGTAAACGGATCCGCCAAATTATCTCTTCACTTTATGTAGTCAATTGTAATTATACCACTGGAGAGTAGTTGCTTAACAGTGTTATGTCTTCGACATATATGTCGAGACTTGTCGTTGTACATATTGTTATGTGCCCTTGCAATTGTAAATTGACTATCACAATGTATACATATAGCAGGCACAGGTTTTGGCCAACATGGAATATCTTCTAAGAAATTACGTAGCCATTCAGCTTCCTCACTAGCTTTATCTAATGCTATGAACTCAGATGCCATAGTAGATCTAGTTATAACAATTAGCTTATTAGATCTCCATGATATAGCCACACCTGCAATTGTAAAGACATATCCACTTGTAGAGTTGGAGTCTTTAGTATCAGATATCCAATTAGCATTACTATATCCTTCAAGTATAGCTGGATATCTTGTATAATGCAGTCTTTTTGGTGTATCTTAAATATCTTAGAACTCTCACTATAGCTTTCTAATGATCCCTTCTAGGATTACTAGTATATCTGCTTAATCTATTAACAGAGTAAGCAATATTAGGCCTTGTGCAGTTTGTAAGATAAATGAGACTGCCGATAATATGAGCATATTCTATTTGTGATACCTGATAGGCCTTCAAGTACAGCTGGATATCTTGTATAATGCAGTCATTTTGGTGTATCTTAAATATCTTGGAACTCTCACTATAGCTTTCTAATGATCCCTTCCAGGATTACTAGTATATCTGCTTAATCTATTAACAGAGTAAGCAATATTAGGCCTTGTGCAATTCATAAGATACATGAGAATGCCAATGATACGAGCATATTCTATTTGTGATACACCATGACCTATATTCTTCACAAGATTAAGACTTGGATCATAAGGTGTTCTTACTGGACTAATATCATACTTGCTTAACTTTTCAAGTAATTTCTCAATATAATGTGATTCGTATAAAACTAGTCCATTAGATGTTCTAGAAATTTTAATCCCTAGAATCACATCTGCTACTCTCAAATCTTTCATGTCAAAATTATTGGTCAACATTTTCTTGGTAGATTTAATCATCCTAATATTGCTACCAATAATTAACATATCATCAACATAAAGACAAACAATGACAAAACCATCTTGAGTGCATTTTGTATAAACACATTTATCACACTCATTGATCTTGAAACCATTTGACATTAATGCATTGTTAAATTTCATATGCCATTGTTTTGGTGCTTGCTTTAACCCATGCAAAGACTTAACAAGCTTACAGACTTTCTTTTCTTGTCTAGGAACAATAAACCCTTCAGGTTGTTCCATATAAATTTTCTCATCTAAATCACCATTTAGAAAGGCCATTTTCACATCCATTTGATGTATCTCACAAGATTATGCAATGCTACAATTGCAATTAACATTCTTATTGATGTTATTCTCATAACTGGTGAATATGTATCAAAGTAATCCAATCCTTCTTTTTGCTTATAAACTTTGACAACAAGCCTTTCCTTATATTTGTCAATTGATCCATCATCTTTCATCTTCTTCTTAAAAATCCATTTATAACCCAATGGATTATTTCCAGGAGGAAGATCCACAAGTTCCCAAGTGTGATTCTGCATGATGGATTCAACTTTGGCATTAATAGCCTATTTCCATAAAGGAGCTTTAGGAGAAGTCATGGCTTCTTTGTAAGTTTGAGGCTCATTTTCTAACAAATAAGTTAGAAAATCAGGACCAAAGGATTTGGTTCTCTTAGCTCTCTTACTACACCTAGGTTCATGTTCAGGTTCTAGTTTTGTAGTCTCTCGGTCTATATTTTCTTGATAACTTTCTTGGCTATCGCTATTAATTAGTATCATAGGTTCTTTTAAGTGTATTTCTTTCTTGTGCATCCTTGTAAGGAAATACATTTTCAAAGAAAGATGCATTCCTTGATTCAATAATTGTATTCACATGTACTTCTAATATATCATATTTGTGTACAAGGATACGATATGCACTACTATTAAAGGCATAACCAATAAAGATACAGTCAATACTTTTGGGTCCTATCTTAACCTTTTTAAGGTTTGGAACAGCAACTTTAGCTAGACACCCCCACACTTTCAAGTATTTATAGGAAGGCTTGTGACCTTTCCATAACTCATAAGGTGTCTTGTCTAACTTTTTGTAAGGCAATTTGTTGAGAATGTAATTAGCAGAAAGTAAAGCTTCCCCCCACTAATTCTAGGGTGCTCTAGAACTTACTAGCAAAGCATTCATCATTTCCTTTAAAGTACAGTTTTTGCGTTTAGCAATACCATTTTGCTAAGGTGAGTATGGAGCAATAGTTTGGTGAATAATTCCGTGTTGGGAACAAAAATCACCAAAAGGTGATTCATATTCACCACCTCAATTACTTCTTAATATATTTATTTTCCTGCTAAGTTGATTCTCAACTTCACTTTTATAATGTTTGAACATTTCTATGG